CGTGATTTTAAGCATCAAACAATATCAAGTAATGCTAGGTTCATAGTTTTGCTGTTTGCTTGTGCCAACGTCAACTGCAAAGGGAAGCATGTAATTTCTCTACTTGATCTATGTTACTGGTGCATTTTTCACGTATATTTATGCAAAACGCAATTCACAATAGCCTTATTCTGACATGACAAATACAATAAACAATGGCAAAATCAAAATGCACTGGAAATTGAGGTGGATTCGAATGTCAATAAGTTTCGCAGTGGTGGACTGAACTGGTAAATGCACCCGTGGAAGTTATCCTTATTTGTTAGCACTAGTGCACCAGGTAGGGAGGTAAGATGTAATTATTTATTAAGCAAATATGACCACATTAATTCAGACGTCAAGAAAATTTTGCATTTGTTGGCAAAATTGTGTGCGTCTTGTATGCGAGCTTCTTCGTCCTTTTCCTCTTCCAGTTGGTCGTAGAAGATGATGTTTGCTTGACTTTGTGCCGGAGGGCATTACGGAGGCTTGAAATGTTGAATCATATAGGAATGCAAATCATGCTTTCATTCACAACTGAATTGCTACCATCTCGTTCTCCGAACTTGTTCTCCAAGCTCACTAAACACCTTGCTATTTGTAAGCGGAAAAGCTGAGTGGATGTTTTGAGGTGAACTCTCTTTCCCGGGATTGAGCCCTGCTTCTAATTTTCTTCCTTCGTGTTGATACTACATATTGATGAATGCATCAGCAAGCTGAGTAAGCACCAATAAGTAAAGCCTTACTCTTTGTTTTGAAAAGGAAAAAAATTGGGAAGATGTTGGAACTGATTTGTGAAAGAGTCAGCTTAGTTTGCATGGTGAGCGGTGGAAGAGTGGATTGGTGGTGGTACATTTCATTTCCCAGACCGAAGTTAATCTGAATATCTAGAAACTGTTGACTTGCTGTCACAAAGATTCCATTATCTTGATGTTAGTCCTCACCCTAAGTTGCCCCTTCCCTCGCTTTTTTCGGTAGATGCGAACTTTTGGCGACATTCAGTGTGTTATCAGCCAATGGAAGTGGAAGGTGATTCGGGTGACTTTGCCATCCTGCGAAAGGACTTGGGTCGATGTAAAGCTCTTCTAGGCCTCGTTTCGGCCGACTCTGAACCGGGAATTTTGCGTTGCGGGTTATCAGTCCTTCTTCTTCGCTCCATCGCACCAAATGTTAGTGCTCGTTTGGTTTATTCCTCTTTCCAGCCGTACTTTGAACGCTTAGCCAACATTTACTGTCGTTTTTTGAGGAACTGATGATTAAGCGTTTGTTTTAATCTTACCGAGATGCATTTTTCTTCTCGATCCTGAAGTATGGTGTTTTAGGCATCTTTTCATATCTTTTTATCACTGTTGTTATCTTCACCTTATTCCTTAACGTAGTTCCTTGCAAGCAATCACTGCACTTCTTGTGTGCTTTTATTTCAGCACTTTTTGTTCGATAGCGTGAATGCTTTTCCACGTTTGGCATTTCCATGTCTGAGTTCCACAGATCTCCGTCGTTTACTTCAAAATCACACCGCACTCATTAACGAGGCCTCCACTGCAGTGAAAAAAGCATGGTAAGCTTCACACCCGCACCTTGGTAATGATCTTATATCGAGATCTGACAAATCAGTAGATAATGTCGCCCATCTTGAGACTCTTTTTGACCACGTTTGCTATATGTTCGGATTGAAGGTTCAAAAAGCTTTTGCAAGCGGAGGCTGAGAAACGTGAAGCACTGCGAAAAACTCATGAATCCGATGTCATGGAGAAAATTGAGCCTAACAGTGAGTTTTCCCCCCTTTCACATTCTGCCGCACTTCCTCTTTTTTCGAACTTGTTTGCAAACTACTATTGAGGGTTTTGCCTCATCCGTTTATTTCATCAACTCGCTTTGCTAACATTTTTGGAGCAGGCTAGACGATTTATCGCTCCACTGTGCTGTCGGTTGCTGCAAAAATTTTAGACTAGTTTAACTGCCAACGCAAAAGAGAAGTGAGGTTGTATTTTGGGTAGAAATACCTTACGCCTTCCAATGAGGCGATAAACTCGAATTATCATATTATTATCAAATTATCATACCATTCACCACTACAGGTGATGCGAACTTAAGGGCAAGGAATTTGGGGAGTCGCGTGTATCGTTGGCACAGAGTATATCAAGAATTTATTGCTATAATTAGCTCATTTCTCTCCTGTTCCCTTTCCATCTCGAGAGGTGGCAGTGCAGGAGGCGCTGATGAGCACACGCCCAATAGTGGGTGGGAAGCCGGAGGCCCATTCGCGTTCGAAACGAGGGGTGGAGCGAAATTGTGAGACCACTACATTGAAGGAGGTAGAGCCCACAAAGCTAGCTACGAAACTCAACTCCACTGACTCCGTTTTCCTGGAACAGTTGGCGGAAGCGAAAAAGTAGGTGGATACCTTTTGAATAATCTTGGTAACTTTAAACTTAGTAGAAATAAGGAACCAAAACGAACTCTCCCGATGCTTTAGGCTCAATGGTAGTTTAGATTATTTTTAAAGGCCGTCTTCAAGAGGTTACATTGCGCCTACTGCTGGGCGATCGGATACTGGAAGTCCGTTTGTCTACAACTTATCTGATTAAAGGCTGTATTGGAATTGCAAACGATAGTCTTACTAGTGTATCAAAATGGAGGAAATGATGGGTAGCATTCCTAAAACCTTACAAATGACTCCAGTGGTTAAACATTTAAGTCAGTGATTACAAGGTCTGGCGAATGCGATGGCTGACTGTGTGGTTGGAAGGTAGTTTCCCTTTGACGTCTGCTCATTTCATGCAAAACTCCTTTGGTGTATCTGAGGTTTCGTAGATTCGAGACATATTCACTTTAACCTTCAATTCGCCACTGTTTATCGTGGCAACATTGGCGCGACCGAGGCAAATACGTTGTCTGTTAATGGTTTTGGTCTTTCACAGTGCCTGCTTTAACCCCAAAATTATGCCTAATGTCAAATCCTGATGAGAAATGCATGGAGATCAGTGAGCGGAACGATGAGATTGAGTAGACATGAATGTTGAACTTATTGCAAATGGTGTTTATCAAATAAGGAATAACAGATCTCCTTTTTTTCTTCATTACAGCAGATTTATTGTTAAATGTTAAAAACACTGATCTGATCAGTTTTACATGGTTTAAGATTTGAATGATTGACGAGCAAATCCTCTATTTCTTTAAAGAAAATGTGGAATGATTGTAATATCCTTTGAGAGCTAAATTTTTCGATCTGTTAAAATCATACGTGAGCTTCTGCAGTTGCCTTTGTGGGGCCACAAGTGCCAACCGCAGAAGGTCTACCTACTTCTCATCGAAGAAACCAGGGCGGAATTTTTGTTTTTAAAGCAATTATTTTGAAGTTATTAATCCTTCACAGCAAGAATTGCCATACTGGTGGCGTTAATAGTTGTCTTTTGTAAGGAATAGCAGAGTATATCCTCTTTCCCCTTCAACGCATCCTGTACTTGGGCGGTCTAACACTACAGCCACACGATCCAACCCCTTTCGTTCGCCACACTACACATGACTTGACGACGGACTTTCCGCACCTCTGCAATCGCAACAAACTAAATTTGGAGGGCGGACGAGCTCCAGTCCCATCCGCCAACTTCTCAACTAACAGCGTATGAAGACTCAGACTCCATCGACTTGCGCATCACTACCGACGCACTGACTGACACACTTCCACCACTCCTTTGTAAGGCTTGCATAAAAAGAAGTGTCGGCATTCCTCCACCTCTTGCAAGTCAAAACAAGTGATTTGGGCCGAGGTGTGCCAATGGCAACGCAAACTCTTTCGCTCCTCTGATGTTGTAGGAAGGCGTGGGCGCTTGGTGTTTTACACCAATCAGCCGCGCGTTGCACCATCCCTCCTCCCACATAGCATCTCAAGGGAGCTATTTTCGTCCCTTTACTGCTGAAAGAAACATTGCTTCGTCGCGCAGCCCAGTAGACGATTGTAATCGTCGCGTCCAACCGAGGGCATTGACACGCTTTTTTGCCGCGTGTAGCTAACTTTCTTTGTGAAGTAGTTTGAGCAAAGAGTGGATCCGCATCA